ATGAAAAAAAAAAATTACACAAAGTGTATAGTCACTAATATTATTTTTCAAAATTGTTTTAAAAAGTGTCTGAAATGTTTCTAAATTGCTTAGAATTAAATTTGAAGGCATATGAGGTTTTTAACATTCAAAATAGGTACTTATAAGCACTTTTAGTAGGGGTGGTTACAAGTATATGCGGATTCTAACTATTCGAGGCCGGTTCTGGTCCCTAACCCCCGCAAATACGCGATTCTCACTTCATTTAAATGATTTTGACATCCCTATTGTGTAGCTCAAGCATTGGGATGTCCCTTTTGCTGACAACCGTGCATCCGGTCTTCTTAACAAGAAATTCTCTGATATCCATATAATAACATCGTATTTCACGGACGGAACAGCATAGCTGAAAGGAAAAGGAATAACAAAAAACAAGGTTTATAATGCTACGTTGTACACAAAATTATATATACATATATACACGTCTCACACGCGGAGAAATTATAACATATATGCAACAACACACAGTGTGCTAAAAAAGAGGAACCATATGTGTAACATTACCCGAAGGGTAAACTGGACTTGCAGCTGTTTCTCTATGAACCTGGTGATACCATGTGGGTCTTCCTGTAAGACATTCCGCTGTGGGCTGGTAACTTTCTTCTTCTCTGCGTTTTAACTGGCAACTGCCCTCCGTCACTCTATCCCCAGACATCACTTACCGACCGCCACGTGAAGCTAGTAACCCTATCTCCATGAAAGGAAGATAATTGCCTTTTGTATCTGTCTATATTCAGGTTGAAATCATAGACAAAGAACATCATATGGAAAATTCGTAAACTTAAGGAATCAGCACATATGCTAGGCCACAAAAATCTCCTGAGCCGACCAAGCATAGAAATGAATACAATATGGGAACCAGTAATAAGGAGCGCCAGAGAAAAGCAATAATAACAAAGAAAATTGCAATATGAACTTTTTTCATCTATAATGGTGAATGTGTTAAAATTATTTGAATCAGTGAATTTGTTTTGCTCATGCTAACTTTCGAAAAAAACACTATATAAAATTCACTAATTTTTTCATCTATAATGGTGAATGTGTTAAAATTATTTGAATCAGTGAATTTGTTTTGCTCATGCTAACTTTCGAAAAAAACACTATATAAAATTCACTAATTTTTTCATCTATAATGGTGAATGTGTTAAAATTATTTGAATCAGTGAATTTGTTTTGCTCATGCTAACTTTCAAAAAAAAACACTATAAAAAACACTAATTTTTTTATAATGGTGAATGTGTTTTATTTGAATCTAATTTGTTTTTTTCTATATAAAATCTATAATGGTGAATGTGTTAAAATTATCTGAATCTGTGAATTTTTTTTGCTCATGCTAACTTTCGAAAAAAACACTATATAAAATTCACTAATTTTTTCATCTATAATGGTGAATGTGTTAAAATTATCTGAATCTGTGAATTTGTTTTGCTCATGCTAACTTTCGAAAAAACACTATATAAAATTCACTAATTTTTTCATCTCTAATGGTGAATGTGTTGAAATTATTTAGCTTTTCAACAAGAAAAATTGATGTTAAAAATTGCCGCAAAATATTGTTGATTTATTTAAGATGGAATGATCTATTATGACATATCTCTAATATTTATATAGACACATTTTATTTAAAATTTTTCTAGATGAATTGTTCACATAAATTGCATATGATTCATTATTGTACAAAATTATATTACAATAAAAATTGTATTTTATATGAAAACATGAGAATTGATGTATTTTCCATGATTATCTATGACTTCCTTCCATCTATTAACAAGCTTACTAATTCCATGACTGTAAAATTCTTTTGACTTTGATTCGAAGAACTCACAAATGTCAGTTTTAACCTCTTCTTGTGTTACAAAAGCTGTTTCTTCCAAATGATTCTGTCAGCTACGAAACAAAATGTAGTCTGAAGGAGCAAGATCGGGAGAATATGGTGGATGAGGAATTTTCTCCCAATTAAGCTCTTCGATCTTTTGTGACGTGATTCTTGCTGTGTGGGGTCGCGCATTGTCCTGATGTAACATCACCTCTTTTCGATTCACTAGAGCAGGTCTTTTTTTCCTCAAAGCTTGGTTCAAATGCTCTAATTGCTGACAGTTTATTTGAGCATTAATTGTTGCATTAGGTGGTAAGAATTCAAAGTGTATTATTCCTTGGCGATCCCACCAGATTGAAAGAACCTTTTCCCCATTAAGTTCCCGTCTCGGCTGTGGCTTGGATCCTTCCCCTTTACCAAGCCACTGTCTACGACGCTTAACATTTCGATAAAATATCCATTTTTCGTCGCCAGTCACAAGTCTATCCAAAAAAAAGAGAAACAAGTTGGCGTGAATGGAGAGAAGAGCAGATGTCAACTCAGGATTTCAGGGTCTTTTCAGGCAGTTCATGAGGCACTCATTTTCCAAGTTTAGGAACTTTTCCAAGTTGTTGAAGATGACGATAAACAGTTGTATGGTTTGAACTGAGAACCACTGCCAATTCCTCAACTGATAAATCAGGATTTTCTTCAAGGGCTGCTTCAAGAAGCTTTTCATCAAACTCAACTGGACGTCCGGTTCGATCTTCATCTTCAAGGGTGAAATCTCCACCTCTGAATTTTGCAAACCATCTTCTGCAAGTTATTTCATTCACACATTCCTCTCCATAAACTGAGTGAATGTTTCTAGCCGCTTCGACTGCTGAGTTTCCTTTCTTGAACTCATAAAGCATTATGTGCCTCAAATGATTCTTGGGTACTTCCATGTTAGCAGGGTTTTAATCAAACAAAATTTAATTTTATTGTTCTCTGAAATAAAATTTGATCTGTTTAAATGCATCTAAACATAAAAATAATGTTCAGCTCCATTAGACATTATAAAATACTTTTTAAATTTCGTTCATTTTAACAAAACGTTAAAATTCGGACAGAACTTATGGGATGACCTGATACTAGAAACAGATTTTTGAAAAAAGAATATTACCAGAAATACATTTTTGAAAAAGAACATATTACCAGCAATACCAAATTTGTCGGCATTAAATAACTCTCAGGTTGATAAACCGTAAAACAAAGCAAACCATCCGATTAGAATAACGGAAGAGGAATTATCAGTTAGCCTGTAAGAATGAATACAACAGACATTCTAATTGCCTCTGTACAACAGAACTCATCCAAAAACTGCAGGGGGGGCATGATGGAAGACTCATGCAGGGCAATGTGGGCTTTTCTGCGGGAAATGGGTGTTGGACTTTCCACCCTGAAGCTGGCTACCAGTCATACAAGAGATGTAAAAGTTGATTCTTATAGAAAAGACTCAAGAAAACCATCTGAGAAAGGCAAGTAAACTCCTGAACAAAATGAAACATTCTTTTGAACCAGGAACAATCTATTACACTTGGAGATGAACATGATATACTCAGGCTTAATTCTGCATCATCCTTAAGTGTGTTGAAATGTTATAGATACAGGGTGTTCGGAAAACAATTTGATATAGTTTAATGTTTTTATTTTTTCAAATTGGTTTGGTATTGTGAAACCTAATCACTACAGTTTTAGATATATCAAAGTTAACTGACATGGACGAGTGAAAGTTACTTGAATATTGGAAAAGGGTGTCCTGCATTATGTTGATTCGTGTCGGGCATCAAAATGCTGCAATTAGGACAGCTGTTCAATGTTCTTGAAACACCGTGTAAACAATAAGACATGAAATCAAAAGTTTCAACGGAGACTACGAGGCCGTAGTCTTTAAGAAAGAACACAACAGATATTCTTCTGATTGCCTCTGTACACCAGAACTCATCCAACAACTTCAGGAGAAAGTGATGGAAGACTCAGGCAAGGGAATGTGGTGAATTTGGTGCGGGAAGTGGGTGTTGGAATTTCCACCATGAAGCTGGCCTTGAATGAGAAACTCCGCTACCAATCTATACAAGAGATGTAAAAGTTGATTCTTACAGAAAATGACTCGAGGAAACTGTCTGACAAAGTCAAAGAAATTCATAAACAAGTTGAAACACCCTGTTGAAACAAGGATAATCTGGTTTTTCTCTGATGAAAAGGATTTTCGTAAGGACCAGCTGCACAACAGCCAGAACAAGAGATGACGTGCCTAAAAACCATATGACGCTTCTCGTCCCTATTGTAGATGCGGTGGGGAGGGGGAATATCATTGATTTCGCGGTGTGGGAACGAGACCCCTTCAACGGCCCTTCTTATAACCTTCGCTTCCTACTTCCTCTAATTTTCTACCTTGAGTCACTCTTGGGGCTTGTATTTGGTAAACAATAGTATGAAAAAATAAGATCTGGTCCATAAGTTGAAACATCCTGTTAAAACAAGGATAATCTGGTTCTTCTCTGATGAAAAGGATTTTCGTAAGGACCAGCTGCACAATACCCAGAAGAAGAGATGACGTGCCTAAAATCCATCTGACGTTTCTCGTTCCTTGAAGAACAAGCTTCCCCCAAACTCTGACGGCTTTTGTTGTGTCTGCAAGTAGAATGATATCATGCCACCTCATAACTTTGAACAGAGTCTCAGGCTCAGTTAGGATGGCTAAGACGATTTGCTGTCAATCTTGGTTGGAGAGGCTGGCTGATGGAAGACCATATGTATGGTAGTAAGATTCAGCTCCCTGCCACACATCCAGCAAAAGTCAGAAGTGGTTGTCAGATAATTTTTACATCACCTGCCCCAGCGCCTGGCACCTTAACTCCCCTGATTGTAATGCCATGGATTATTTTGTATGCGGCGGGGTTAAGAAAGGCATCAACCGCACTTCCTGTAACACCAAGGCCCATGATTCAGGATGTGTTGAAATGTTATATATATATATATATATATATAAGAGGTTCGGACAAAATTTGATATAGTTTAATGTTTTTATTTTTTCAAATTACTTTGGGATATCTGTAAACAGTGAACGGTTTTGTGGAACCTAATCACTACAGTTTTAGTGGTGTCAAAGTTTGCTGATATGGACAAACGAAAGTCACCTGAATATTGGAAAAGGGTAACCTGCATCATGATTCATGTCGCGATCATAACAGCTGTTGGATGCTCTTTGAACACCGTGAAAACAATAAGATGTGGAATAGAGAACTGTAACGGAAACTAAGAGACCATAGCTTGCAGGAAAAGATACTCTAGCCATTTTGGTCGCCTCCGTACAGCAGAATTCATCCAACAACTACAGGAAGTAGTGATGGAAGACCCAGGCAATTGAATGTGAGCTTTGGTACGGGAAACAGGTTTTGCAATTCCCATTGAGAAACTGGTCGTGAATAGGAACCTGCGCTAACAGTCATACAAGAGGTGTAAATGTCAACTTATTTCAGAAAAGGCTAGAGAAAAAAAAACATCTGACAAAGGCAAACAAACTTCTGAACAAGGGACAATCTCTTTCTACTCTGATGAAAATAATTTTATCAGGACCAGTTGCACAACACCCAGAATAACAGCTGGCTTGTCTACATTTCATATTAAGTACCTCGTGTCATGAAGACCAGGTTACCGCAAACTGTGAAGAGATTACGGTGTGTCATCAGCGAGGGGGGATGTCATGCCGGCTCACATCTTTGAACAGGGTCTCAGGCTCAATTCAGATGACTATGGAGTTGCTGAACACCGTGATAAAGTCTTAGTTGGAGAGGGTAGCTATTTGAAAGCTATATGTGTGTCAGCAATATTCATCTCCCTGTCACACCTACAGGAAAAGTCACAAGTGTTTTTTAAGATTTCACTCCTTCTAACTACCCTGATTGTACTCCCATAGATTATCATATGTGGGACGCAATTGATAGAGAGGCCAACAACAAGCCTGTAACACCAAAGCCCAGCTGATCGACAAGATTAAGGAGTTTTTTTAGGCACGTTCTACGGTTACTTACTGTGAAACACTCAGGTGCCAGATTTCGGAATCGGACCGATGATAACTACCACTATAACTCTGTCTATATTTCTGAGATGAGGTATTATGTACATTATTTACATTATTCGGACTATTGTCCTCATCTTTGTCGCCATATTAATTACAACGTTTCGGCCTTTCAGTATCTGTCTACATTTCTGAGATGAGGTATTATGTACATTATTTACATTATTCGGACTATTGTCCTCATCTTTGTCGCCATATTTATTACAACGTTTCGGCCTTTCAGTATCTGTCTATATTTATGAGATGAGGTATTATGTACATTATTTACATTATTCGGACTATTGTCCTCATCTTTGTCGCCATATTAATTACAACGTTTCGACCTTTCAGTATCTGTCTATATTTCTGAGATGAGGTATTATGTACATTATTTACATTATTCCGACTATTATCTTCATCTTTGTCGCCATATTTATTACAACGTTTTGGCCTTTCAGTATCTGTCTATATTTCTGAGATGAAGTATTATGTACATTATTTACATTATTCGGACTATTATCCTCATCTTTGTCGCCATATTTATTACAACGTTTCGGCTCTTCAGTATCTGTCTATATTTCTGAGATGAGGTATTATGTACATTATTTACATTATTCGGACTATTGTCCTCATCTTTGTCGCCATATTTATTACAACGTTTCGGTCGTTGTACGCTCCGGCCTTCTTCAGGTGGTTGGCACGTGGAACTATAACAGTCTACCCCAGTGAGCGAAATAAAGGGTTCAGTTCGAAATGCCAACCACCTGAAGAAGGCCGGAGCGTACAACGGCCGAAACGTTGTGATAAATATGACGACAAAGATGAGGACAATAATCCGAATAATGCAAATAATGTACCACTTTTCTATTTTTCTAATAAACTGATTTTTGGCTTCGTTATTCACTTTGTTTTCCCTTTTAGAAATGTTAATTTTAGCCCGGACATCTTGTATGTACCGGGTGAAAAAGCAAAATTGTTCGAATCGTGTAACAGCATGCATTAATTGTCCATCCCACAAAAGCAGTCTTTTATTTTGTATCTAACATTTTTCTTTTCTTCGTTTTGCTTTTCGAAGGCATCTTTTGCTATTTCAAATAATCTTCAGATTTCGGTGTCATATTTTTTTCCGTTTTCTGTTAAAATACTTCCGAGATATTTCAATCTTCTTACTTGCTTGATTTTCCTCTCTCGGATACCTAGTTCGCACCTTATACTCTTCCTCTTGCTGGCAATCATGCATTCTATCTTCTTAGAATTAATGGTTAGTCTTCTCGATTTATTTTACTAATTTTTTATATTTCATTTATTATTTCCCTAACATTGTCAATATATCCAACAGTGGTGATATACCCGAAGGACTAAGTAGAAACATTTTCATATCGCTGCCGAAGAAGCCAAGAGATAACGAATGAGAATTCTATCGGACAATCAGCCTAATTAAATTGAAGGTTGTGTTCCTTTTTTTGTTACTTACGAAATGTTTAGGGTGAATTCTTTATAAGTTTTCTATTTTTCCAATAAAGTGATTTTGTGTCGAGATATACACATTGTTTTCCTTTTTAAAAATGTCAAATTAAAACCGGACATCCTGTATATACCGGTTGTAACAGCAAAATCGTCCGAATCGTGTAACAGCATGCGATAATTGTCCATTCCACAAAAGCACTCATTTATTTTGATTTTAACGACATTTTCCCTTTCTTCGTTTTGCTTCCAGTGCCAATAAAGACAAATGAATATCAAAAGTTTTAAACGGAAGTATGGCTAATATATATATATATATATATATATATATATATATATATATATATATATATATATATATACGGTAGCAGCCATAATATGAGGAACGGAAACAACAAACACATAAATATGTATTACTTAAAAAGTAATGCATGATTAGCAATGAAATTTTTACCGAATTAAGATTGGGGTGTAATGCATAAATATTATACAAAGTTAGAAAAATTTACATAATACTTATTTTTAAAATAAAGATTAAATGGAACAAAGCAAATAAGCTACTGGACAAAAGTTAAGGGACGATCTTGTTAATACTTGATTGTGAACAAAATATCAACAAAATTTAATATTTGGTAAACATCCCCTTATTTTCAATGACTTCTCTGCATCGTCGATCACATGATCTAATTAATTTCTTGCAAAAATCAGCAGTAATATCCCTCCCATTCGTCTTTCAATAACTCTCATAGGTGATCCTGGTTTTTCGGGCTTCTTTTCTGAGACCTTTCTCCAATTATCTTCCAAACATTTTCTATTGGATTCAGGTCGGGGCTCTGGGCTGGCCACTTCATTAGGGCGATTCTTTCTTCTTCAAATAAAGGTGCATTGTCCTGCATGAAAATAGGAGATTCATAAAGATTATGGTGCAATCTTGGTACCACATGCTGCTGAAGAAGCCTTTTGTAACTCTCAGCATTGATATTGCCATATACGCGAACGATAGGGCCAACTCCTGCAGATGAAATCATTCCACACACCATCACACTGCCGCCACGATACTTAACGGTTTTCTTGACACATTGAGAAGACAGTCTTTCACCTGTTCTACGGCGTACGTCAGTTTTGCCCTCAGAACCAAACATAGTAAACTGTGCGTCTGTCCAAACAACATGTTCTCTCGCATACTCCAGGCGTGCCCTTTGGTTTTGCTTTGAAATGGGAGGCTTCGAAGCTGGAATACGGGAATGCAATCCTGCATTTTTTTAACCTGCGAGCAACCGTTTTCCTTGAGATCTTATTATCTGTCTCTTCATTAAATTTACGGGCAATTGATGTAGCAGTTTCAAAACGGTTTTTTGTAGATATTCTAACAATTCTTCGATCTTCTCTTTGCGATGTTTTTGGAGGTCTGTCGGTTTTTGGTTTTGCATCTAACGTTTTATCGGTTTTATATCTGCTAATTACACGATGAACGACAATTTTAGACCTATGAACAATATCAGAAATTTCTGAAATTGACGTTTTTTTCTTGATAGTTAGCGATAATGAGTTTTTTTTCTTCAAAAGAGAGCGTTTTGCGTGTAGAATTTGCCATATTGCTTAAAAATAAAGTCCTAATGATAAATGAACTTTTACTTATTGTTGAAAAGCTCCATCAAGTTTTTTAACAATGTAAATTAAAAGTTTATGCAAATTATTAACATCGTTCCTTAACTTTTGTCCAGTAGCTTATTTTCATTTGTTCCATTTAATCTTTATTTAAAAAAAAACTATTATGTAAATTTTCGTAACTTTGTATAATATTTATGCATTACACCTTAATCTTTATTCGGTAAAAATTTAATTGCTAATCATGCATTACTTTTTAAGTAATACACATATTTATGTCTTTGTTGTTTCCGTTCCTTATATTATGGCTGCTACTGTATATATATATATATATATATATATATATATATATATATATATATATATATATATATAAGAGAGAGAGAGAGAGAGAGAGAGAGACTACGTTTTATACTCCCCGCCCACTAATTTCCCCGTCAACCATTGTCATTGGTAAATTGTGAGATCTCGTTGTAGGGAAAGGTGACTTGATGCCTTTTCCAATGGCCATTTAAACTAATGAATATCAAATGTCTTAAAGGGAATTACGGCTAATATTCCGGTTACCGAGTTGATAAATAAACCGTCGCTCGTAACAAACTATCCGCCGAGGAAATGGGGTATCACTAAAGAAATCATAAAACTCCCTGAAATGGCTTCCTATCTCTTGCAGAATTGATCAACACTAACGATAAAAACCAGTGATCGGTGCGACATGCACATTAAAATCCATAAGGCAGCTCGTTTTGCGGAATCATCTTCTGACCTTTCAGGACACGGCTCTCCACAGCTTCGTATCATTTGTAGTTATTAGTTAGGATCCTCCTTTCTCTGTCCGTATCGTTCCCTGATTCTGCCAATAATTTACAAAATCTGTTAAAAGACTTCCCAGATATTTTTCTCTCTTGGATTCCTAGTTCGCATCTTGTACTCTTCCTCTTGTTGGCAAACATGCATTCTATCTTCTTAGAATTAATGGCTTCTTTTCTCGCTTTCTTTTACTAAATTTTTATATTTCATTTATTATTTCCCTAATATTGTCAATATATACAACAATGGTGATATACCAGAAGGACTAAGTAGAAACATTTTCATATCGCTGCCTAAGAAGCCAGG